ACCTGCTTAGCCAGGAACAGACTGCAGCTTCTCATTTGCTTTCAAGGCTTTGGACAGTGGCCATCTGTTTCAACACTTTCTATTGTCAGACGCTATTCCGTAGTCCTGACTTCCACGTTATATTTGGTAGCTTCTGAATGCTTGCCTTTCCTAAAACTGGACCTACGTCCTCCCTCAAATTCTAAAACACAGGGGAAATGTTTGTGTTCTCAAGCCTACTTTTAGATTTTTAAAAAGTGCTAACCATGTGGTTAACATTATGCTAGACACTGAGAAAATTACAAAGTAAGAAAGAAACAGAAATGTGGCCAGAGAAGAGTGTGAAGAGAAAGTTGGAAACAATCTCATATGACAGAGGATCTTCAATCCATGACTGAAACCTTGGACTTTACTACTGGGAGTAGGTACGTGGGAGCTATTGGAGGCAAACAGTTGGAAGAACTTTAGACATAAAGAAACAGTGATAGGGCACTATTGTGCAGCAGAATTGGGAGGAGGAAAAAAGTTAAATAGGGAGGTGGTTAGCAAGGTGGTATAATAATCCCCTTGAGAGTCGATTATACTTAAGACATTTTATGAAATAAATTAGGAGAAACTTTTTTATTATGAAAGCAATAATGGTTTGAGAGAATGTGGAAATTTCTAAAACATATAAGGAAGAAAAATATCACCCATAACCTCACAACCTAAAGATAATTACTGATATTATATTACCTTTCTATGGATATAACAGACCATATAATACATGGAGTTTAACTCTTTTTAAAACTTAGCATGAAGATTGCCCACATTACTATAATTTGAAATATAATCTATAATTAGTCACTAAGTCTATCAAATGGCTGGTCCATAATCTAGCTTTGCTGTCTTGGTTGGATATTCAGATTATTTCTGGTTTTTAGCTATTGGTAGTCAAAGTGCAACAGCTATCCTTTCCCAAATATCTTTACTTCCCAAATAATTTGCTTAGATTCAGAGGGCAAGATTCCTTTTCAGGTTCTTGATGTTCTGTAGGGACATTTGCTACTCGTATACAAGCAGTGTGTGGCACTGAGAATAATCGTTATTAAATCACTGCTAACTTGATGGACAAAAACGTTATCCTTTGTGATAAGCATTACTTTGCCAGTTAACTCTTAATGTGGTTGAAAGTTTTACTTAACAATGACAGTTTGAGGCAGAGAGATCACTTGAAGCCAGGAGTTTGAGATGGTGAAACCCATCTCTACAAGAATAACACAAAAGCAAAAAGCAAAAATTAGCTGGGCATGGTGGAATATGCCTGTAATCCCAGCTACTCGGGAGGCTGAGGCAGCTGAGGCTGTTAGCTTCCTCTGTGCCATTCTGAAATTTACAAACTGTTTCCTCCTTTGAGATTTTGCACTAGCTGTTTCCTGCTTTAAGGAGAGAACTGCTACCAGACCTCCACATGCTGGACTCCTTGCCTTGACTCGGGCCTCAGCTGCACCAGAGCCTTGCTGTAGGGAGGACTTCCCCAACACCCTCTTCATCACTTCATATCTGCCTTCAGGGTTCTCATCAACCTGAAATAATCTTTCAAAATTTTCCTATTTACTTGACACTAGAATGATTATAAACTCTAAGAGGGTCTGTCTT